CCCCCTGCCGCTGCTGGGCAAGCAGGCTGTCTGTTGGCTGCGTGCCGAGCCTTGTGCCTCTGTTCTGTGAATTACCTGCCTTTGGCAGGTCAGCACATCCCCTCTTTAACGTCTGTTTCTTTATGGAGGCAGATCCCAGAATTAAAAGAGGATATCAGTATCCCCGACTACTGCTGCCTGGGAGAAGGGGAAGAAGATGACATCACCATTAACGCTTGGTTTGGTCCGGAAGGCACCGTCTCACCTCTTCACCAGGATCCCCAGCAGAATTTTTTAGCCCAGGTCTGTACTCTGCATGTGCCGTTAATGCCGTGGCTGGAAAACGCTGCTGGTGGGTATGGTCCAGCAGCCAGGGTAGCAGCCGACTCAATGGGTAACTGAAGGATAGGGAATGTGCAGAGCGTGCTTTGTGCACTGTGACCTCGTGGCTGCTGAGGGAGTGGCTGCTGTTGGGCGCCCTGACGGCGACTCCGGCGCAGAGTGACGCCGCAGAGGGCCGGACGCTTCGTGGGGCGCGGTGTCCCCGGCGTATTCCTAGTCCCAGCAGCGGACACCTGTGCAGCTCCAAACACCGGTGTTTTTGCCTACTGGAGGGGGATTGCTCTTTCTTCCTCCATCCCAGCAGACTTAAAAAAACATATGGCTTACACTTTCAAATGTTTTCCAGCAGGAACATGACATGGAACGTGTTCATTTGTGCTTTACGGGTTGAGATGGAGTTCCTCTGTCACAAGTTGCTGCTTGCTAACCTGTGTTCTCACCTGGAACTGAGGCTTAATTCAGCCCTTCCTAGGGGGGGTTACAACTGCTGTGTGGTTATGCACGTGTTGTACTTCTCTCCCCACTGACCCACCCAAAATACGGCCCCCTGCCTTGCTGGGAAGTTTCTGGGTGGAAGTCCATTATAGGAGTTGTTGGACTGTCTCTGAGCTGGTACCTCTGTGTGCTGGGGTGAAGTGCACTGCAGACTCAACCTCCTAATTCTCTGTCCCTCTCATTACTTCCTAGCTATGTGGAGCCAAAATAATGTTGTGTAATTGGGTGCCTTAAACTTCAGATTCCATTTGGTTAAAGGGATTTCAAATTCTAACATGCTCCAAAGGAACAGGAACTTCAGTTCGGACAGTCTGGTCTAAGTTACTATAGCAGTGTCTATTTACTACTAACGAAGATAGCGTCGTTTCCTGTAGTCAGGTGATTTTACTGTTAAATGCTGGCTGTGGCCCAGTGTTCGGTAACATGCAGGTTATTGAGACAGTAATTGGAAAATGTTTATTGGAATATGTGCAGGTATTTGGACGAAAGTATATCCGCCTGTACTCACCGCAGGAGTCGGAAAACCTGTACCCACATGACAGCCAGCTGCTTCACAACACTAGTCAGGTAAGTAGTGGCCTGAAATTTTAATATCAGAAATGTTACTTTATCAAATTGCATTTGAGTGAAGACATTCTACTGCTGATTGTTTTGGATTTCTGTAGGTTGATGTGGAAGATCCTGACTTTTCCAAGTTCCCCAATTTCAGGAAGGCTGCGTTTCAGTCCTGTGTACTGATGCCTGGCCAGGTGCTGTTCATTCCAGTTAAATACTGGCACTACGTACGGTCGCTTGATATCAGCTTCTCCGTCAGCTTCTGGTGGTCATAGCACGCAGGGAAGCCGTTACCCCCGCAACAGCAATTAAAAAGCAGAAAAGGGAGCATCTGGGATCTGCTCATGAGGGAATTCCCTTGAAGCGCGAGAATGTTCTTCCCCATCCGGAGATGAGAGGTGGATTAAAAAACCAGACAGAGGCCAGACTCCTGCTTCAGCGTGGTGAAAGAATCTGGGTGGGTGGCGAAAAGGAGATGCTTCGGCCACCTTGTTTCCACAGCTGTTTCTATATGAACTCCTCGTAAAGAGCGTCTGTTAGGTCATCTGGTGTGCGAGTGTGCCTCTGAAACAGCTCTGGACGTGGGCAGTGCCAGGGCTCTCGACTGATTTTGGAATGTCACGTCCGTGTCACCGTCCGCACCGGGTCACGGGCAGGGGGGGCGGGCGCTATCAGAGGTTTAACACGTTAAATAAAACCTGAACGTGAAGCCAGGTACCAGTCTCCTGTGTGGAAAAAGTGTCTAGTGGTAAGGCCTAGGAACATAATTAATTGTAGTTAATCCATCGTTTAACTGCAGTTAAGTAACCTGAAACTTAATCATACTTCGGTCAGCGGAGCTGCGGATGCTGCCGTCCGCAGGCACCCGGCTCTGCCCAGGAAAGGGCGCTGCTGTTCGTCCTGGTGCTGGCAATGTCTAGTCCTTGCCTGGTTTTCAAGTCACTCCTGAAGGAAAACTGGGGCGTGACATGCTCCTACGAAAGCTGGCACTGCCCCAGGCCTAGTCTTGCACCTTGCCCTCGGTTTGACCGTCCCTCTTCCTGAGGGTAGCTGCGTGTCACCCGGCCTGGCGCCAGCTCTTGCATGCTGTGCGCAAAGAAGGGACAAAGCCCGTGGGTGGCCGGGCTGCAGGTCAGGCTCTAGCCCTGATCAGGTGCCCAGCCGCCCTGGTGAGGAGACCCACGCGCTGCATCAATTCCCCACCCACCCGAGCCCCAGCCCTCGTCTGCAGCCGTGCAACCGGCGCGACAGCGGTGGGGAATGCTGGTGCCGAGAAAGGCCTCCAGCGGGTCACCCGCACACATCTGGCAGGACTGACCTACGCCACCTGCATCTGTCATCCCCAAACACCCCGAGAGGCCCGCACCAAGGGTGCGGAGCACGACGCGCGGAACCGCCGGCGAGCGAGCTGGGCAGGCGCTGACGGAGAACGGGAAGCTCAGGGAGAGGTTTATTGTAAGACTTAAAGCTCGAGGAGGAAGCGAGCACCCTGACCAACGCCCTGTTCCTGGGGAACGCGGCAGGCCGGCTGCTCTGCGCCCGTGGGCAGCAGGGTTTCGCTGAAAGCAGGTTTCACGAGCATCGTCTGGTGCTGAGAACGGGGCTCTTCTCTGACCTCCCCGATTTTGAAGGAGACGAGGAGTCCATCTGACTCCTGCCTGCAAAGACGAACGAAAGGGTCGCGAGTGACACGCCGAAAGGGCAATCCTGCGTGACCTCCAGGCTTTGCAGATACCTGACGTATTCCCGTGCTCCTGCTCCGAATGCCCAGTCCCACCGGCCACTTAGGGGGATTCCCAAGAGACTCTGCTCCTAGCAGCACAGCATCTCCAGACGTGTCAGGGCCCTGCTCCCCCCACGCACCCGCTACGCCCGGTACCCACCAGTGACCCCAAGGCAGAGCCCAGCCCATCCGAGCTCGGGGCTACTCACATGGGGGTGACCGTGAGAAACAACCCGTCCTCAGCTCCCGTCAGCAGCGGCACAGGCAGTGCCGCGGGACCTCACAGCCCCGCTCTAGGATTCTCACACTCAAACTGTTAGAACGGGTCGCTTGGTACCTGGAATGTCGCAAGACCAGAGGTCGTTGCAATGCGGGCAGCGTCGTTCTGTCTGAGCTCTGAAGTACTTCCTGACGCAAGGTAAATGCATTCCCGTTCCGCAGGACTCGCAGACTTGGCTCTGGAATCAGAGGTGTTAATTAAAAACCTTTCCAACCCGTCCTTCGTCCAGCAGAATGGCGTTACAGAGGGGACGGGGGCACGGCGCTTTATTCCCCAGAGTGGGAGGAGTCTGTACCGTGGGCACCGTTACCAGACTGCAAAGCCGGAATATTCCGGGGCCCACCGAGGTGGCAGTTACCTGGATGGCCAGGCTGTGGCAGATGTTGCACTTCCTTGCCACGTCTTGGTAGTTGCTGAGGATGTACTGTTCCATCTCAATTATGCAGCGCGTGTGCAGGGTGTATTCTCCGTTTCTCTGCAAAACAAGTGGCGAGACAAGGAATTTCTTTTAATTCCATCTCCCTTCTTTGACTTTCCTAACTGCCTCAAGCAAGCATTTGACATCCACTTTCTTCTGCCACCCTGAACCTGACACGAATATAACGCAGAAGTGAAATTAGTTTCTTTAGAGGGTCGGAATAAAGATCACACGCCTTTAGCAGAGGTCTGGTCCTTGGAAGGCGCAGGGGAGCACACGTGCTCTCCATAACAGAGACACGCAGTCTGGGGACCCTCCATTTGCCCGTTAGCAGAGATTTACTGGCTTCCAGCAAAATCTAGGCATTTACTGCTTGAGGTATGTGAAAACCTGCTAACTCACTGAGGTAAGTCAGCGTGTGGCAGCAGGCGGGGATCTGTGATGCAGCGCAAAGGGGTTGAGGTCGTGGTGGCGGGCAGCTGCAGCCTACGCTAATCCCCCCTTCTCCCTCATGAAACGAGACTATAAAGCGTGCAGTGGCCTGTGTGTTTCTGGTGCAGGAGTCCTCAGCGTGTTTGCCCTCTCTGCTCTTCAGGATATTCTGCGTGGGACCAGCAGCACTGAGCACCCCGAGAGCTTCCCCAGCCCTGCTGCAGGCCGAGGTGCGCGCGCTGCAGCATGCAGAGGCCGCCTGTCGCAGGGCAGAGCTGCGCCCCCTCCTAGCTCAGGTACACGAACCTGCAGCCTCCTGGTCCTGTGCAGACCCACCCAAGGACGTTTTCCTTGTACCTGTACGATCTTTTCTGCAGCGGCCGCCGGAGCAGCAATGAGCACAGGCCCCACCAAACCGTCTTTGCCATCGTCCATCAAAGAACAGCTCATTTCAGCCACCGCACCCAGAAGAAATAGTAGCTGGGCCTATGAAGCCACGAGCACTTGACACAGCAGTTACCTCAGAGAGCCACTTATCCTCCACAAAAACTTTCAGCACTTGTTCCGCCTCCTTTTTCTTCATTTTCTTTGTCTTAAGTTGGTCAGCCAAGTTTAAAATATCTGTAGAAGAGGCAAAGCCGCTTTCTGATAAAATGATTAGGTCCATCTACAGAAAGAAACATTGTCAACTGTTAAAAACCAGGCAGTTACACAGACCCCCCTTCTAGTAATGTCCAGCTTCTTTAGCATCCCTGCGTATTGCACACTGCAGTACGTGGCGCGAACCAGGACTGGGCCAAAACGGGCCGAAGGCCGAAGCGATCGCGGCTACCGTGACAGATTTCATCTTGGCCAGGAACACAAGTGCCGTCTCCAAGAGTAGAACGGCAAACGAAGCTGCACGCGGGGACCCCTGAGCGTACTCAGCGGGGACAGAGCTGTTTCTTCTTAGCTGCTCTTTGCCAAGGTTATTTGGGGGAAAAAGCTCTCACTACCAAGGGCTGGAGCACAATTCCCATGGGGAGCGGCTGAGGGGGCTGGGGGGGTTCAGCCTGGAGAAGAGGAGGTTCAGGGCAGACCTTATCGCTCCCTACAGCTCCCTGAAAGGGGGGTACAGAGAGGGGGGCCGGTCTCTTCTCCCAAGGGACAAGTGATGGGACAAGAGGAAACGGCCTCAAGTTGTGCCGGGGGAGGTTTAGATGGGGTATGAGGGAAATCCCTTCCCGGAAAGGGCTGTCAGGATTGGAAGGGGCTGCCCAGGGAGGGGGAAGTCACCTTCCTGGGACGTACTGAAGAGACGAGTTGGTGTGGTGCTCAGGGACATGTTTTAGGGATGGCTGGGGTAATGGTTGGACTTGATGGTCTTAAAGGTCTTTTCCGCCCTAAAACATTCTGTGATTCTGTTCTATGAAATCAGCCATCAAATGTCCTGGGATCTCAGCCCAACAGTTCCGTTGGGAACAAAAACTCTCAAGTGAGTTGCCCTGTTTAAAAAGCAACATTCTGACCCTTTCTGGACACACAGAATTCATGGACGATGCAATAACAGACAGTGTTTCTGTTCAAATCAGCAAATGCAACTTGTGTGTTATCAGCATTAAAACCTGTAAGTTGCTGGGCTGGCCACGGCAGTGAAAACTCCCGCAGTCACGCCTGAAAGCCCGAAGAAAGGGCTTTAGGAGCAGAGGTGAAGTCACACACTCCAAGGAGCACTCCCCTGCTCCTGATTCCAGTTTACTGGTAACTGACTTCCAGCAGGGAATCACTGCTTGCTCTGCTCCCATCCCCACCCCCTTATTCCGGCTGGGATATGGCAACTGGTTCCCAAAGCACCTCTCATTCACTCCCATCTCCATTCATTTTGTGGGACCTTCATGAACGATGTCACTGATGAGTAACTGACGTACTTACCGTTTTTCTGAACAATTCCAACTCGTTTTCGGTATAGTCAGATGCCATTTTAGTTATTTCAGTTTCTGCCAAATTCACCTACAAAAAAAAAAGAAAAAGCAGATTTAAGCTGAAATCCAGGCGCCTTCGTAGGCCCCAGACTGGGGGAAGGATGGCACCCTCTCGCAGCTACAGAAACATGGAAGGGCGAGGAAGAGGCTGCTCCTTAGAGATGGCACAGGATGGTGCTCGGTCCTTCCCTTATGCCCCCTGATCCATGGCTGCCTCTGCCCATCCCACCTCCAGAACGATCCTACCACCCCCCTACAGAGTGCTACAGATTCTGGCCCATTGGTGACCGAAGGTGCAGACCTTCACCGGCGCCACACCCGAGGTCGGTTTTAAGCTGGGAGCACAGGAGGCCGCACTGGTAGCCACGCAGCAGGCACGCAGTAGCCGAACTGGGCGGTGGCAGCACGTGGCACTTACCAAAGCGTAGTGCACCCGCCCGTCGCCCTCCGACATGCCCTTGCGGACCTGCATGAACAGCGGCTGGAGGTGGCTGTTGATGACACTGACGAAATCATCCAGTTTATCGTGCGCGTAGTAGGCTGAAAGTAAACGAGCAAAAGCATAGAACAAAACCTCAGGCAGATCTTCGTGTGCTTTATCTGCTGGACCGTTTTCTCCTAGGGAAGAGCAGGAGGCTGCGTTCCAACAGGTGTCTCCGTCCCGCCGACTGTCGTGCTCTTGGCTTGCTCACTACCAGCCTTCACAGCAGCTCAGCTCCCTGAAGATCAGAGTTTAGGGAACCCAGACACTGCCTCGGTGCACAGAACCTGTCGCAGTAATCTATTAATTAGTGACCTGAACTGAGCTGAACTGAAAATACAATGACCAGAAAACACGATTCTGCACCACACAAATCCGCACTTGTTTCCCCTAACCACACGCAGAGGATCCCTCCTCCAGCGTTGTAGAAGCACCGGTAATACCTCCCGTCAGGTCCTACAACAGCTAGACACCGGCAGAGGTTCTACCGCAGACACAATTCCGATGGACTCTGGAGCCACTGCGGGGAAGCAGATGCCACGGCTGCCACTGGCACCACAGCAGCACGCACCCTCAGGACCTTCCGTCGAAAACTCCTGTTGACTCCAGCAGGCTGAGGGTTAAGAACAGGGCCAAGTGACAGCTCCTAACTTCAGAAAACTAACGGACATCTCGCTTCGCACTAAGCTGACGCTGTTCCCAGTTACACGAGCCAATTGCCTGCGTAACAGTCGGTGGTGCCGCTCACAACCCCCCTACACTTCATCACGTGGTACCGTGCGGAAACACCAGGCCCGGGATGCTCCCACCCCGAAAGTTCCACAGTCTGATACTCAGATACTCAGACCCCGAGTGAGCAAGCCCAACAAACAGCAAGAGCAACGACGACGCGCGATACTGAAACAGGAGCCGTGTTGTCCAACTGCTGTGCCGCGGGCCTGGCCCGTCCGCAGGAGACGCTGCGCGCGAAGAAGAGGGACCCTGAGCAGCAGAGCCAGCAAAGGGCAAGATGACGGAGCAGAATGTTCTTTTCACAGCAGCTGTAACGTTCTGCTGTGGGCTGAATGGCTCCTCTTGTAGATCTGTGAGAAAAGGGCTATCGACTCTCGGCAGCTTTGGTGAGAAAGGACGAAGCGGCGTGGGCTCCACTCAGTAAATACTCGACCTCCGCGCCCTGCCTACGCTATACAGTGACCTCTCCTTTTCCTGCCGGGACAACCGCTCAGGGGTGTCAGCGCTACAGGCACGACTCCAAACGTGAAACCCAGGAATGTTTATTACTCAGCTGAGTCTGAAGGTGCCACAGCTCCACGCTAACAAGACACCAGCACCGTTCATCTGTGCTGCCATGTTTGCGGCAGCAGCTGAGCGAGTGCTCCAAAGGGGACGGGACCTTCCCCCGCACAAAACCCAAGCGCAGCTGTAGCGGGGCGCTCCAGCTCCCACCTTCTCCGAGCCACAGGGTGAAGCAGATCAAGTCCAGTTCTGTCTGCAGAGCAGCAGTAGGAGAACGTCGACTTTCCCTCCCTGTGCTGACGGCACCGAGCAGGTGTAATAGAAGCTGCTGAGGACCGGGATTGATATTTGTGGCTGACTGTCAAGATCAAACCATATTTTAAAAACTGGTAACCATACATCAGCTTTTGGCGCAGAATTAATCAGTTTGGAAAGTCCAGATTTAAACACAACTGTAACAAACCATGAAGAGTAACATGACAAATCGCTTTGGATTTTCAGCCACTGATGCTCAGTTTTCGTTTCACCAAAGAATAAAGGAAGAACAAAGCATTCAGAGGAGTTCATTTCTTGGAGGAAAACCCATGGTGGGGTCTGGGTTTTTCCCCCCATTTCTGCAGTTGCTCTCTTAGTGCTGAGATGATTGACACAATGAGATGTTCCCTATCAGGATTTGAAAATGCTGCCATCTAACTTGACTACAGCTCCAACAAACTGAGTGAACAGGACCATCGCTGGGAAGAGAATCTAAAGGCTTGTTCAGGAAGTTCCTTAAAACCGAGACATTCTTGCAGCAAAGTGTTGTACAACCAGCTTAACAGCATCAAAACCAAGGCAGAGGCTTCCCTGGAACAGCAAGAGGTATTGCAACGCATGAACCCAGGCAACCCCTGTCCCGCAGAGCTCAGTCCCACGTGAGCTCTGTCCCGGCTACATCCCTCGCTTGTAATTCTATCTGTATCCTGGTTTACATTATTTTAAACTCAACGTGAAACCATTCTCGTTGAACCTCTTTCCACACATACACCTACAATGTGTTTGAATCTTCCCAGGGAAACCAAAAATCACCTGGAAGAACAAGTTGCTGTTCCAGTAGTGCACCGCAACACACAAACCTACGGCAAAACCAGTCGGACTGCAAAGGCATTTAGGGAGGGGAAACACCCGGTTACCCCAGCGGCACCGGAGGATTTCACCAGTGCTGCAGTGTGGACACAGGAAACCGTGTGCTGCCCTTCAGGGAGGGTTCACAGCCAAGACTTCAGTTTTGAAGTGTAAGCACTAAGCCACCCCCGGTGTGAAACACCAGCACGGCTACGGCACTGGTTCCCACACCCCGAGACTGACACATCCTGTCTTCTGTCAGCCGTCCTGTCCCAGGGAGTACTGAATGCTGACCCCAGGGATGCCATCAGCCTTCACTACCAGAACACACAAACGAGTCATTGCTAGGCTTCTCCACACTTCACGTTTCACTCCAGCTACAAGGCATCTGAGATGCAGCAAAAAGTACTGAGCAGAAAATACGGTCTGTGCCACATGGGCCACAAAAGTCAGTGACTTCCGTCTGATCTTAAATTCCACAGATAAGCAGATACAAAGCCAGAGCAAGACCGGAAGAGTCCCGGCAGAGAGGGTAGCACTGTGACAAGATACAAGACTACCAAGGCTGGCAGGAGCAAGGCCTCCCACGCCAGGAAGGGGCAGCGTGATGCAGCTGGGGTGGCAGGTGCAGCCACCCACCAGAACACCCTCCCATCCTCACCAGCACACTTCCCAGCATCCCCTTCCCCCACAGCACACGGAGGAGTGCCTGAAGCGCATTCACTTACCAGCGCTGGCTGCGCCAAAGCAAAGGCTGCTGAGGAACGGTGTGACCTGTCTGTGCTCCCACTGATCCACCCCACTCCCTTTTCTGTTGGTGCTTGGTGATCTTCTTCATTCTCTACACACAAAGGCCTAGTTCGAGGAGCCAAGAGCCGCGTTTTCTTTTTCTAGTTCTGATACATTTGATGCACTACATATAGTGAAATACCAAAACAAGAGTACAGTGGATTTTTCTGTTGTTTAGCAACACTAACACTTCTCTGGTAACATAAAACAGACTTCAGATGGTTATCTGCAAATTCCACCACAGATATGAAAAACTCCCCTAAGCTCAAGCTGAACTTTGCAGACAAGACATGAGCGTAATGAGCACGCAGGGTCACACACAAGAGCAGCTGCTGGAGCTCTTCGCAGAATACTAAACACTACAAGCAAAAATGCTTGTCTATCCTACAAATCCCCATTCCTCACGTATAATTTATTTAGTGGGTCTTGCAACAGCCAAACCCAAAATACACTGTGCTTAAGGCACTGGCCTGACTGCAGACGAAAGCTGGCACTAGCAGTTACTTTCCTCGGTGTTCAGCTACCAAGCCAGTTCAGTGAAACACAAACCAGACAAAAGCCACTCTGACACAATCCACCTTGCTGAATGGTTAGCCAGGGCACTCCTCTGCACATCCAAAGAGGCAGGAAAAACACAGCCCTCCCTCCTTCTCCCATTGTTCCAACCATCCATTCATACAGGGACTGTACCAGCCTGTTTTCTAACAAACCCCACGGGAACTTCACATACAGGTACATTTTATAGCTACTTTTATAAATATCACTCAACGTTGCCCTTCAGTAAACACGGGCTGGTTTGAAAGGCAGCCTGATTTTGTCCCTCCAAATTATCCTCAGGTTTATCAAAAATATAGCAAAAGAGAATTTATCAGTGTTTTCTGTTAACCCTCTGGCAGTGAAGAACATGGCAAAGGAGCCGCTTGTGACTGACCATGTTCTGGGAAAATAAAATGCTGGTCACGGAAATGCCTAATGCTGTTTTACATGAATACTCGGCAAACGAGCGTGTGCTGAATCCAAGAAAAAAAAATAAGCTTGGAAATCTCTCAAGGGATAGAGAGCAAGTGACTCTCAGTATTTTTTCCATGACCTGTTAAAAACCCCAAGTCATGCTACTACGAAGAGCGATGTGTTTTCCAGGGAGAGGGCCCACCTCTCCAGCTGCGCTGTTCAGAGCTGCATGAACCCAGCGCTTCAGGTACTGAGGACCTTCAGCTGGCTCAGCAGAGAGCAGGAAGAACAATGGCAAACTCCCGGGTTTCTACCGTCTCCTGGTTTCAGGGTCAGAATCACATTCCACCTCTTCTCCTCCCACGCCAGTGTCTGTCGAGGGATGCAGTAACAGCCAGCCCGGGTACTACCGTTTCCCTGACCACACAAGGACAGGAGAAGCCAGCCCACGCCCGCAGACAACACCCTGAAAGCCACCCTGAAAGGGCGCCGAGCGTCGCGGTGCCTGCGCTGTCACATAACGCTGGAGAGGCGCGAGATGCCTTCGCTCTGCACTCCGGCTTCTACCGTAACACGTGTCATAGCTGAGAAGCCGTAACACCATGCCGACGGACCAGCCGTGTTCAGGGGAGCCAGTGGAAACCATGAGCGATGGCACGGCCCTTCCCCAGCCAGCCTGGAATTCGTGCCCACACCAAGCGGTGCGCTTGGCAGGGGCTGTCACAGCACCTCGGACAGCACTGGGGGCTGTTCCGGATCCTTATCGATTACACGTTTCAGTACTGTTCAAGTCCCAACACGACTTCAAACAGATCTGATAGCGCGCAACCAAACTTCTGGCACACGTGCCATGAGGCTCAGCCTGCTGCAGTGCACCTTAAAACCAACCAGCTGACCGTGTAACCAGTGAGACGGGACAGATTTACTCAAGATGGAGAACCCAGACATTGTGTTTTCTTTTCCAAAGGAAATCCCCAAATAAGTATAAAGGAAAACGTCCTGGAAATTTCGGCACTGTCAGTGTCAAAAATGATTTTATGTAAATGCATAACTCATAAAAAACATCTTTGATAAAACAGAAAGTGCTCTGCACGAGCCTGACCTGATTAAAACTTAGTTTCCTCACTGTTGTGTTACTCCATCTTTTAGGAAAGAGAATGCTCACCTACAGATTTCAGCTTTATTGCAGATGCAGTGTGCTCTTCAGAAACTAATTGTCTCTAAGCTGCACCTGGAAAAACGTAGTTCTTCCACCTCCCTACTTGTTCTCCAAAAGACAGACCCACCTTTATCAATTTCACAGCAGCGCCGGTGCAGTTTCCTAGCCTCTGACCCTTCCATTATCCCATGCGACATCAGGACTTGCAAGAACCGCCGGTGAGCATCAGTCATCTGAGCTGCCATCGCCACACTCCACCAGGCTGCAGATGCAGGAGGCGTAAACTGGAATTAACACGCATGTTCACACACACGCAAAATACACGGTCCATGCAGGGGGGAGATTTCGGTTGAACCCTAACACCGAATCAGGGCAAAAGGCAGATCCCCGGGCTGTTCTCAGAACACAGATGGCACTAGCCCAGGGCTCCAGGAGAAGGGTGCGAAAGTCCAGCTGATTTTAGCTACAAACAAAACCCAAGGAAGGCCTTGTGCAACCACACTCCAAACTGTACGTGTAACCATCCGCACAGCGCCGTGCACAGCTTCGTGTCGGATACTTCTGCTGACCACACACCCTAATAGCTCGTCTAATTAGAGCGCAACTGCCTTCGGGCAGAAGATGAAAGCCCCGCCAGCCGTTCCCTCACGCCTGCAGCCGACTTGCCAAAAGGAGCCCCCAGCTCCAAGCCCAGGGGCCGAATAACGGAGGCTCTGGCCGGCAGCACGGTCAGCGAGCTCCGGGCCACGGCTGCATCCCACCGCCCCGGGGTGCATCCC